GCTTCAAACTTTGAACAATGTTTTCACCCATTGAATCTAATCTAAAGGGGGCAAAATTTTGGAGCATTATATCAAAAATGCATTCAATTCCTCTCTCTTACTTCGCCCCAAGCATTTACAACAGCAGAAAATAGTGAAATTCAAGCAATTTTTTTTTTCTTTTTTCTTTTAATGATTTCATCGAAAATGCAATAATTTTAGTGTGAAATTGAGGAAAAATGGTGGAAGTGGAAGGTGGTGGAGGAGGAGGAGTAGGGAGTTGATTGTTTCTTGGGATTTGCTATTGGTATATAATCATTTGTACCTAAGGGTGTACCACCTCTCACATGGGGGACTCACTCGAATATTTTATTCATGTGGGTCCCACCCTCATGTGAGAAGTGGTACACCCTTAGGTACACTAGATTGAATAATGCTTGTTGAACCATGTTGGGTTACAAAGTTCCTTTACAAAGTGACGTGTACGGTTCAAATGGAAGGAAATGGACGGTTCGGATTTTAAGTTGACAATAATGGAAAGTGGCGCCAAATTGGTTTTCTTGCAACTTGGTATTAAAAAAACAAAATTCTTAAAATGGTGGTAATTTCTCTCTCTCTCCCCCATCGTGCTCTGTCTCCCCAGCTCTCCCAAATCAACTCACAAGATTTTAACAAAATTAGAGAGTGGAGGGTTGCGAGTGTAGAAAACAACAAACCAAAGATAAATCAATCAAAGGACCAAGTGAAGAATGGAGAGGAAGAAGGAATCGATTGATAGCAGCCTCCAAACTTAGGGCAAACATATACAAGATACAAAGGTTTATATAGTACAAAACTAAGGAAATGTAAAAGTATAAACTACCCTTAACCTAATCTACTTATTACATTAATAGCGAGTTGGAGCGAAATTAGGGGTTTCGACACTGCAGGAAGGTGTAGTTGAGCTTAGCTTGAAATTGGTCTGAGAATCCAGCAGGAAGGTGGTGGCTAGGCAACAAATCGGGTATGAATTTATGGATTATGACCGAATCTGTCTGTGATGAAGTGATAATGCAATGTTTTCCATTGTGTGCTAGAAAATCAGTTCGTCCATTTGAGTCTGCCAACCAAAAGGGGAAAGAGGAAATCAAGAATAAAATTGAGGAGAAAGGAAAATACTTAAGACTCCTCATCCCTAAAAACTTGAAAAAATGCTAAAAGTTTTTCCCTCGGTCAGTTGGTCATAAGTCAGCTACTACTTGCTCCTTTCCTTCAAAAATTCTGCTTTTTCTTATTTTTTTTTCCAAATGATTCAAAAAATAGCTGAAACATTTACCCTCATGTGCACTTGCATTTCCTCTTTGAGCTTATATACTGATTCCATTTAACTGAGTGAATTTCATGCTCTCATGATTTCCACTTAGGAGAGTAATGTTAGCTGGGTATCTGCAGCAAAAAATAAAATAAAATAAAATATACATTAGCCAAAGGAAAAAATATCGATTCATTTAGGAAAAAACAATAGTGTAGTTGTTAATATTCAAGAATTCATTGCATTGATTTGTTGAAGGGATTATATACCGGAAACTTTCGTGGTTTTGTATTATAAATTTGTTGCCAAATGGGATTCTCAGTGTTAGATACAAAATATGTTGTAATGCTGTGTTGGGAATAGCCAGTACTTAGATGACATTCCAATATTGTTGACCTGTTATTTATGTACCTAAATAAACCACTCAAAGTTGGGCATTTTGAACACGTAAATATTGGTTGAGTGTTAATGTTTTGCAGGGTCAACCAAATATGGAAGAGGTTTTGTCCGTTGATTCCGAAAATGAGAATGTGGAGGACAATATGAATGTCGTGGAAGATGAGATGGTAGTGAGAGATGGTTTGACTGTCCCTGAGGTTGGTGCTGCAATGCGATATCAGTAGTGCTGGAAGGGATATCAATATTGCGATATTAGTAGTGCTGGAATGCGATATCAGGACTGTTGGTGCAATTAGGAACCATGCTGGAATTGCAAAATTCTTGGTTGTAGTTGTTAGTTGGACTATGTGAGATATGTGAATATAATTAAATCTTGTTTTGTTTAATTGATGAAGAGCAAATGGTTCCAAATGTGGTAGCTTAGTTCGAAATATGTGGTGCATTGCAATTGTAGTCTCTCTCCTGTTGTGGTACTTTTTTAGTTAAAACATCAAGTTTTAGTTCATTTGTTCAGGTTCAGCATAAACACATAAATTTCACTCATGAATGAGAGCTGTCATGAATGCATATTGTTTTACTGAGTTTTACTGAGATCAAGCTAACTTACTGCATGCTCATAGAAAGTTAGCATCTCATTTAAAATATACCAAAACTAGTGGTCTTGTTTTGCACACATATGTTGCTGACTGGTCTAACACGTTAAAATGCTATTATGTAATGCCGAAACAGAGTTGTTACTTGAAACGCAAAGGAGTAAATTCTTTAGGCCTCAAGGAATAAAAATAAAACACATACAACAGTTATAAAAATGGTGCAGAGCTGTTATGGTAAACATCTGTCAAATACTTAGTTGCTCTCAAAACACCATTTCTCGATAGCAAATACAAAACGAACACAACACAACTACAACTCGTTCGACAACTAATTACTAAAACATGCTGTGTTGGGTCCTTTCCTTTCCCAAACTCCTCCGCCCATCCTTTCTCCTTGTGAAATGTCACGTTCACTGAAATCTCGACATCTCGTTCATCTCGTATATATGTATATTAAGATAGGCGATATCTAAAGAGTTCCACTAATTAGTAGGGAAGAAATATATGTTAGTACTAGGCAACATTCATCCCAAGCCTTAAAACATATTAAAGTAGGGGATTTCCTCTAAGGAAATCAACCAAACAACTTGTGGGTCTATTCAGTTAAAAACACTCAAGGAAAACATAAAGGGAAATTACCTATATGTCTGACCGGCCACAAGTTCTTGACCCTTCCATATTTGCTCATAACTTGAGAAAACAAACAAAAGTAATAAATTGATCCTAAATTGAACCATACATATTCAAAGAGAAACAAAATGATCAAAAAACTTTAAAGAACCAATAATTTCAATTCAATTGGATAAATTAACAAATCTAAGAAAAAGGATACCTGGCAGAGAGTGTCTTCAGTTGTGAGGGGAGAGAGACGGCCTACAAAGAGAATGCAATAAGAGTCACCAATAACGTTTGGGTCGCCAAAGGGGTTGTTTGCAAATGAAAATAACAAGAAGAATAATGAAAACATTCAGACAGAAGAATTTGTCCCTAAATGGGGTAATACAATTGGGAGAAAATTACAGAGGATGCAAACTAACTAGAGAAGATGCAAACTGAATCCATTCCACCATTACCCACCAATCGAAAAAAACCTATATTCCCCCAACATTTAGAACCCTTCTCACCTGGTTATTTAAAAAAGGTACAGAAAATTAAAAAAATTACCCGTAGAAACTACAAAATTGAGCTGATTTGGAGAGAAAAAGTTGAAGCCGGTCGAGCTTAGATCTGTCTCTCTCTCTCTCTCAAAACTAATATACATACAGGAGGCTGTATGTATAGCTCTGGTGGGTATTTTTATTTTATCTTTCCACTTTTGATTTGGAGTGGGACGACATCGGGAGCTCCAACCAAAAATTCACACCGTACCCGATTTCGGAGATGGAGAAGATGGACGAGAGGCCGGATTCGTCGATGAAACAAGCAATGTGAAAATCGATCGCAAATGGGAGGAAATGTTGTTTGAATTTCTAAATGGGTCAATAAGATAATTGCCAAAATCTAAGCCGTCCAGTGCTCTTAAATCTGAATTGTACACGTCACTTTGTAACCTTCCTTTGTCAAGCTACTTTGTACGTGTAGCATTATTGACACTAGATTATGTACCAATAGCTTTTTCCTTGTTTCAATGGTCACTGAACCGAGGTCCATATTTTTTATTGGCCATTGAACTTTAAAATGTCGAGTTTTAATCACTGAACTCAAGTTTATGTCTTTGATTGGCCACTGAACTTTAAAATGTCGAGTTTTGGCCATTATTGTACATTACTCACTGAATTTTGAAAAATATTGTACATTATTTACTGTAAACTCGATATTTTTCAAAGTTCAAAATATACGCTAGTGAGTAACGTATGACATATTCCAAAGTTTAGTAGCCACAACTCGATATATTAAAGTTTAGTGAGCAATTAAAGACATGGACCTAAATTCAGTGACTATTGGAACAATTAACTCAGGAATAGGAAGTACAGAGAAAGAAAGAGAAACTTTATTTTATTTTTAATTTTTTAATAATTTTTTTGGGACTCATTTGTATTTTTATAAAATAAAAAATTTGGAAGGATGATTGCAATTAGGTCTTTATTTTTATTTTTGTTTTATTTATTAAATGAGATGACATATTCGTCCTTTCACATATTTTTATTTAGAAATTTGGATGAACGTGATGATTTTCACAATAAAAAGTGTAAACATGAGTGAAAATACACCCTGAAAAATAAAAATAAAAAAAATAAAAAATAAATAAAAATAAAAATAAAAATTGTAAAGTTGGAAGGTAATAACCTTTTGCCCAGCAGGCAGCAGTTAGAGCATTGGACTGTTCAATATATCAGATTTCTTTCACATTTTTCTATTATTTTTTATTTTTTATCTTCATACTATTCGTGTAATTTTCATAGTCACTGTCATCTTCAAATTTTTGACGATAAACCATGACTTTTAATAAGTATAATCTCTCGTCAAAGTCTATGCGTATATAGTTAAATGCTGTAGGGAAAAGGCCAGGAGCCCTTACTCGAAGTACATGGGATCAACTTCCTTATTTGTTGTGTAATTCTCAAATCATGTGTTCCTTTATATTTTCTTGAATACCATTGGATTACTAATTTTTTGATGAGTGGTCAATTAAATTCAAAATATGGGTCCACATCTCAAGTAAATTATCAACCTTAACCCATATGACAAAATATCACAAACGCACAGACCTGTTTCTCTTTTTATATGGTTGTAATAATTTCTAAGAACAAATTCTTACAATTCAATTATCACGTGCATAATTATTAAAAGAACATGAAAATGCCTATCTTCTTCCTCAAATCCCATATAAAATGTTTTATAATTGTAGCACTGAGAATCATAATCCATTTCTGAAAATATGACTTACCTGTCAAATTTGAAAATATCAAGATCATCTGCTGAAATTGCTATATTTCAATGCTGTTTTCACCCTTTTGGGCGGAGAAAAATAACAAATCTCACGATTTTTGCCTCCTCTAGCTCTTCTAATTCTGCTTCTTCTTCAACTAGTGATAATGGGACAGAAAAGACTTTGAAGAATGAGAAACAACTTCAAGGAACTAACTCAGTGGCTCAAAATGAAAAGAAGATTACATCTTGGGGAGATGCTGATTCTGTGGCCAGTCGAAGCCCGGCATGTCGTGTTTCAAATATGGTAGAGAAATCATGTGGTGGAAACAGAAAATGGCCTTTCTGGAGGAAACTGATATTTGGATCCAAGAAATTCAGGAGTATAATCTTGCTTAACGCTGTCGCTTTAGTTTCTGGTATGTTACTAGATTCGAAAATCAGAAACTTGTGTTCCTAGATAGCTCGTCCGAATTTGTTGGGCTCTTAATACCATATTGAATGAATCTTGATTTCCATCTTAAAAGTTTGAATCTATTTGGAATTTTTACCATTTAATACTTGTGTGATGAATTGCTTGTGCATCAAGATCCTCCTAGTGGATGATTTGTTGAATACACATATAAAATCAATAATTTAGGTGCCACGAGGTTTTCGGAAATCTAATCTCTTGTTTATATACTGTAGCAAGTGATATTACAGTCATAAAAGAGGTTGAAGCTTTCACGAATCCAGCTTACTTCTGTGCTGTTCGATTTGCTGTGTCGACCATTCCATTCTTACCTTTCATCTTCAAGGCACGGAATGATGTTCAAATCCGCAATTCAGGATTTGAATTGGGGTTATGGGTCAGTTTAGGCTATATGTGTGAGGCACTTGGACTGCTTACTTCTGATGCAGGGCATGCTTCATTTATTTCTCTGTTTACAGTAAGGCCTCAAGTTATTACTTAAAGAATTCCTGGATGCGCTTTTATGGATAAAAAAATATCTGTAAAAAAATTCATTTTTAGAGTAAGTTTGTTGCTGAAATGGACAGGTTATTGTAATCCCACTGCTTGAAAGCATGTTTGGAGCAATAGTACCTGCTCGAACTTGGTTCGGAATCTTCATGTCTGTCGTTGGGATTGCTATGTTCGAATGCAGTGGATCTCCTCCGAATGTAAGAGTTACCATTTTCTTTATAATCTTTCGATGCTAATTATGCGATTATTTACTGTTCCTAATAGAATCTTTTCACCTCTTGATGTGTGTTTTGATCAGATTGGTGATCTTTTCAACTTTTTAAGTGCCATATTCTTCGGCATTCACACGCTGCGAACAGAACATATATCAAGGACTACGAGAAAGGAGAACCTGTTCGGTCTTCTGGGATATGAGGTTTTTTTTCTTACATCCATGTTACATTTGCTTAAACTTGCTCGATCTGCAGTTTGAATAACCACTTCATGTGTTAGGTTGGTGTTGTTGCGGTTATGTCCACGATATGGTGGCTAACTGGTGATTGCATTCAAGACAGTGATGGTGCATCTTGGACATGGGCTATGTTTTGGGATGGGATACTTGCGTTTCCATGGATACCAGCACTATATACCGGTGTGTTCTCAACAGGGTTGTGCTTGTGGGGAGAGGTATACATCTTTTAATCATTAATAGTTTGGAATGGGATAACAAACACGATTTTAAATTCTTTTTCAACCTTAATCCTTTTTCTGAAATGAATCACCAGTTCCGAGAGTTTGAACAAGTGAACCTGGAATTTACATCATTCGTCATCCTGTGCAGATTTCTGCCATGCGTGATGTCTCAGCAACAGAAACGGCCGTGATCTATGGGTTGGAACCACTCTGGGGTGCGAGTTTTGCATGGTTTCTCCTCGGTGAAAGGTGGGGTGCTGCTGGATGGATGGGGGCTGCCCTCATCCTAGGTGAATTTTATTGAGATATCCTGAATTTTTGCTATCTATCTAGTTTCTGCAGTAATTTCGAATAGATATGATCCAGCATTCCTGATTCCATTTTTTCATTTTATCGCGCATCATCGATTCAGGAGGAAGTTTAACAGTGCAGATTTTTGGAGCTTCTGCTGGTAAATCAAGAGAGGCTAGCAAGAGAGATAACAGCAATCCATTGATGGTATCAGATCACAAAAAGATACCAAACTCGCTCTCGACTTCTCCAGTGGTAATCAGATCCCAGGATAATGTGATAAAATAGATTGGAGAAGTAACAAGCCTCTTTAACTTTGTAAAATATATAGCCTAGTTAAACGAAGCTCATATAGTTTATATATACATGTATCTTTTGCCCTTCATTGTCACCCGAAATAACCGATGGAAATTTTGAAGTTCTAGTACATAGTATATGACAGTGTATAGATAGAAATTTTCCACTGTAATGCCCTGTTATGTAATTGAAAATAAAGGGGTTGTTTCATATGTAACTGCAGTGGAAAGTGATGTCAGTGATTAAAAGAAACAAAGTTGGATCAGCAACTTGGAACTTTTGAGCTTTTATTGGTCATGCTTAGCATCTTTTTATTTCTTTACGTAGTCTACTCAAGAATATGAACTAGTAACATATAATCCTCATTGTCTACGGCCTATCCCAATCAACTTCTGAGATTGAGGATCCTGCACATGACAAACAGTAGAAGAAAACTGAATTAAACATTCAGAATCACACAATTGGTTAACAGAGATAAGATTAAAAGTAAGAGATGGAGCACAACAGACATCTGAAAGTTATAAATTATGTGTATTAACAAAACCAACACTTGCTAAAGGTAATGGTGTGCAATCAGTAATCATAACAGACACAGACAAATTAAAAGGACGCAAGTCATTAAAGAATTTTAAATTAGACGATATGTGTTTAGAAGCACATGAGTCAAAGAATCATGAGGAAGAAATATCTGAATGACTCTGAGATGACAAACTTGTATGAGTAGAGGCGCTGACATAGTATGTGGTTGTGTGACTATGAAGTTTTGAAACTACTCTGCTAAGTTCGTCAACAAGGGATTGGAGGAAGGTGGTGCTCCAAGTATAGACGAGTCACTAGGTGGTATGGTGGCAACTATGTTAGCATTGGGATGATAGAATCCCTCCTGTGATTGAGGTTGCTGCTTCTTCAATAGCTTAGGACATTAAGACTTCCAATGTTCTTTTTGTTTACAAAAGTTACACTCATCAATAGCAACTCACACATAACCTTTATTTTGATTCTGTGTGGACAATAGAGAGGGTACAACCAACACTGAGGTGCTAGATGGAAGAAGAGATACTTCTCCTGCAAGAGATTTTAAACGTAATTCCTCAGCTATAAGTTCACTAACCACCAATCAACAGAGGGGAGTGGAGTGCGATGGAAGATAGAGCCTCTAAGTCTTTAAAAATCACTGCGAAGTGCCATAAAAAATTGAACTAATTGTTGCCTCTCTCTAAAAGTAATATATTCCTCACATGCTTTCAGTCCTACTGATTTCGTAAGAACTAACTCCCAAATTGAATTCATAGTGGCGTAAAACTGAAGAATACTCATATCCTTTTGATGTAAAGCCCGCATATCAATTTTCAACTAATACCATTTTGCAAAGTTAGACTTAATGTATAACTTTTGAAAGTGTTCCCAAACTTCCTTTGCTATTTCAAACTTCGCCGACTGTGTACCATTGGATTGTTTAATAGAATTATGAATCCAAGTAAGAATTTTTACATTGTTTGACTCTCAATTATCTAACTCTATTATATAATTCTGAGTAGTGTTCTCAGTTTTCACAATAGATCTACTAACATAACCCCACAATCTTTTTCCCTTTAAAAAATTTCTTATCACTGTACTCCAATATGAGTAATTTTTACCATTTCATATGACACTAATGGATTGAAGTGAATCATCTACGAGTCAACGAAATCACCCAATTTTTAAGAAAACTAATGAAAACCAACGTACCACCATAGACTACAACTGAAATATATTGCACATTATATGTATAACCAATGTAATACCACCAAAATATTAGAAATTTACCAGGGAACAAACGATCAAAAAACTCACGCATGCGACTTAACCGTTGTTGTGCATGTCCTCACACATCGTCTGCTGACACACGCCTGACTGGAAGCTTTGTCTCAACCTGCTGAACAAGGATCTGTTCTCAATTTTCTCAGCCGATCTCTGGTTTGGTTGGAATTATGATTTTTAGTTGCGGTCGATTAGATTTTTGCACAAAACTTTTATTGCCTAATTTTTGCCTCGATTTTGAGCGCGTTCCAATCAGAAATTTCACAATTTTCACTTAATTGTAGGGTTTGATACCATAATAACTATATGAACTACCTTGAATCAATATAATGAATCAATTTAAAGAGAAGAAAAGAAAAGAAAATAGAAGATAAGAAGAATAAAGAGAGAAAACAATAATCTATCGAGCAACAAAAAAATTAGGTTTTATAATGAACTAAATAGTTTATATATTACAAGGAAACCTAAAATAAGGAAACTAAATATTATGTTAAATAAATAAATATATTATCCCTGTGTTCACTAAGGGGTTGTCAATATCTCCTCATTCAATTGTAAGCGCACAATTAGAACTTGACACCGGGTTGGCTATGGAAACCAATGAAAGAAATATTTTCTCTGCTTTATAAACGACTTCATGGGATTTTAGTAGATACTCCTAAAGAACATTTACCTTAATGAGAGTGGAAAATAGTCTATGGCAATATGCATAAAAACTGCACAAGACCAGCTCGATGATATACAATGCTTATAGGCTAAATTGTGCTTAACCAACTTCATGTGTCATCACAAATCTATTGTTCATTAAAGACGAGTTTAAATGATATACTTGTGATCTTCTCTTACATCTTATACTTTTGGTTCATATACTTTAATGATGGAATGAGATAAGACAACGGTTATGGATGTAGGATAATTTATTACTTTAAATCACCAGATCTTCATGTTGGATCATCAAGAAATTCAAGAATTACAGCGGAAGTGTACCTGAATCAAAATAATTAATGCAATAATTGAATCATATGGCTTGGTCTTCCAAATCTACATGCAATCTCCTTTTTTTTCTCTATGTGATGGGATGCAGAAGAGAATGAACAATACGTACACTCTGTACGTGTGATTCGGGGACCATATACCGATATCTTTTGACCTAATTCGGCCCATCATAGAATTAGAAATTTGGGCCCGGTCTCTACAATATAGAACCCACACTTTAATTGGATGCATAATGGCAAAAAATCCAAACATTATTATATCGCTTTTAATTGGACTTAACCGAATTTTATAGTCTTTAATTTAATACACAACAATTTACACATATAAACTCACACGATCATTTAAAATTCCTTACAATCTCCCATTTAGGCTATATGTGTTACCTTAGAATTGTGCATTAAATATAACCTTATGAGTACTCAGAATTTTGCTATCTTTATTGAATGCATCCCCAAACAATTCGGTCCATCAATCATGTCAACATAGGATCAAAGCGACTTTCGTTACTTTCATTGTAACTAAACCCATCAATGATAATGTATATCAATATAACTGAATGACATGTATCAAGCATAGATGTGTAGTATGGAAATTACATGTGATGTGATCTGTAACATGTATATTTTCTACTGGTCCACCTTAATACCTTAGTGAGATCATTTTAAACAAATTCAAAGATAATAAACCAAATAAACCTTAAAATCGAAAATAACTTTAACCTTAAACCGTATCCAAAATGACAGTATATGTGTCTAGCACAAAAATGTAAACTCTCGCTGAAACTAAATATCCTCAAGAGACATTACACCCATATGAGCAGTGTGCCAATGAAAGACATTGGGTATCAATTCCTTAGTGAGTGGATCCGCAATCATGGAGTTTATCCCAATGTGCTCTATTAACACATGTTCACTCTGAACTCTTTCTTTAACAACCAGGAACTTGATCTCTATATGTTTCAACTTCGTCGAGCTCATGCTGTTATTGGAATATAACACGACTGATTGATTTTCACAAAATAACTTGAGCGGTCTTTCTATATTATCCACAATGTGTAGCTAATTGACAAAATTTCACAGCCATATTTCACAGTTTGATGCCTCATAGCAATGGATCTCCTACTTTCTTGGCATCCCGCGAAATCGGAATTAGAATAATTCATGATCTCCAACTGATCCGATCTCCTGTATGTGAGCAAATAGTCTTTTGTTCTCTGTAAATACTGTATGACCCGTTTGACTGCTTTCCATTGATCCATTCTCGGGTCACTTATATATCTCCCTAGCATCCTAATAATGTACGCTATATCCGGACGCGTACAAACTTGAGTATACATTGGACTCCATATAGCCGAGGAATAATGAATCTTTTGCATTTCTTTAATTTCCAAGTCATTTTTTGGGCACTATCTTAAACTGAACTTGTCTCCTTTGGCCACAGGGGTGTCACCTGGTTTACAATCTTGCACGCCATATCTTTTAAGTACATTTTCGATATAACTCTTTTGTGATAATCCAAGAATACTCCGAGATCGATCTCGGTATATCTGAATTTCCAATACAAAAGAGGCGTCACCAAAATCTTTCATCTCAAAATTCTTTGCTAGAAATCTCTTGATTTCTTGCAATAAGCCTATATCGTTGTTAGCAAGCAATATGTCATCGACATATAAAACTAGAAAAATATACTTTCTCCCACTGAGCTTGTGGTATATACAATCATCGACCAAATTCATCTCAAAACCAAATGATCACTTGATGAAACTTGTAATACCATTGATAAGACATCTGTTTGAGTTCATAGATTAATTTTTTTAATTTACAAACCATTTGCTTTGCATCATCCGATACAAAATATTCTGGTTGTACCATATAAATTATTTCATCAATATCACCATTGAGAAACTCTGTCTTAACATCCATCTGATGTATCTCAAGATCGAAATATGTTACCAATGCTATTATAGTCTTGAAAGAGTCTTTCGAAGAAACTGGAGAGAAAGTCTCTTTATAATCAATGTCTTCTTTTTACGTAAAGCCCTTTGCGACAAGACGAGCCTTATACCTCTCTACATCACCTTTTGAATCCCTCTTGGTCTTAAATATTCATTTGTAACCAATGTGTTTTGTACTTTCAGGCAATAGAACGAGGTCCCATACGTCATTGTCCTTCATGGACTTTACCTCTTCATTCATGATATCGAGCCACTTTTGAGAGTTAGAACTTTCCATGGCTTGATGGAAGTTGATTGGATTATCTTTCACCATTCCAATGTCAACTTCATGTTCTTTGAGAAATACAATGTAATCATCTGAAACTCCACTTCTCCTCTCTCTAGTGGATCTTCTTAATGGCATGGGTTTTTGAGGTTGTAGAGTTTGTTCTTCTGGAACAATTTATTGATCTTGATAGGATGATACGACATTGTCTTGATCCGGAGTTGCTTCTTGAACAACGTTAGGAATAAAACCTG